ATTATAATGATACTGTAAAGGAGCCCAAAACCCCAGTCTAAGTAAGGCCCAAGCATTTTAGTCTTTAGGATCTAGTGTTTGAGTCTAGGGCTTAGGGGACCCAAAGGTTTCAATCTAAAGCCCCACCGACAGGTTTAGGGTTTAGGGTTTAGGGGTTTAGGGTTTAGGGTTTAGGGTTTAGGGTTTAGGGTTCAAAGCAGGTATGGTCACGCTGCCATGCCAGGTTGAAGGTGAAGGTGCAACAGCCCCTACGTACCTTAACCGCAAATAACCTAGACTTTTTTGGACGAAGGTAAGGAAATCATAGTACGGAACTCTGAAAAGGTAGGCGTCTGAAGGTACAGGTAGACCCTCTAAATCCAAAATCCTGCGCTCGAATTGGTCTTCTGTCTGGTGCTTAGTGTGAATGGGGGAATGGGTTATAGGGACTACTATAAGGGACCTTAAAGGGACTATCATAGGGATCCATTCCCCCATTCCCCCCAAACCCTAAACCCTAAACCCTAAACCCTAAACTGATCACCAGACAGTCTTAGATTTAAGGTTTCATCGGCCTCAAAGGCGATTCCTGCGAGAGTTCGCGAAGTATATCCAGCCTACTGTAACCATTAAGCTTTATTTGGGGTTTAGGGTTTAGGGTTTAGGGCATTGGGAGTGATAGTATGGTTTGTTTCGGACGAATTCAATACTCCAAGATGTAGGTCGTTTAGGTTACTTGCTTCTTCTGTAGCCTTCCGGGAAGTAGGTCGGTCTTGTTCAAGAGTGTACTGGACGAAGCTGCTGCAAAATTCGTTGCATGTAAGGTTGCGTTGAAGCTCTAAACCTGCAGAAAGGTTTCTTGCAGAAGCCCAAAACTTGGAAACCCAAGATCCTCAATCCTTTAGAGCAATGCATAGGGAATCCTAGCACTAATCGCTAGTTGTCCTTACTCCGGTTTCCAACACTTTGGAACTCTTTGGGACTCCGCCAAACGATAAGATTTTGGCAGGCAGAGGTTTGGTACTAATTTGCCCAAAGGGTCCAAAGTACCTATACAGTAGAATGTAGGTTTCTACATTAGGGAGTCTTATTATGATTTGGGAAAGTATCCGCCTTCACAGTACCTAGGACCCTTCGGGTTAGTACTAGGAGGCACGTGGTACTAGCGCATGTCAACTTCAAAACGGAAAGTCCACACGCTGAGACTTGTGCACTCATGCGTGCTTCCAGTTTCATCCCCTGCCCCGCAAGCCCTGAACCGCAAAGCGTAAGCACGAAGCCCAGCCTGAAAGCAGTCTTTTGGGTTTAGGGTTAAGGGTTTAGGGGGACCATAAGCCTTGAACCCCTAAAGCCTAAACACTCTTTGTCAAAAGGGTAGTTCTCTAAATTAGGGTCCCCTGTAGGCTTGTTGTTTATACGAGTGCCGTACTATGTTGGGGACCTAAACAGGGAGCCTAATGTAGGGAACCACCCATATATGTCGGAATCGTTTTACGGTCTAGGGTTTAGGATTTAGGCCGATTTCGCCAACGAAGAGACCGCAATTTCCAAGGGCAAAGATTCGGTGGAATATGGCGCGGCCGTCGTTGGAAAATTGCGTTTTCGATGGCTGGGGTGAAGGGCCTAGGGTTTGGGGCTGTTTGAGCTTAGTTTAAGGCCTAAGCTTTGGGGCTTAGGATTTAAAGTCTAGCTTTGCGGCTGAAGGTTTAGGGCCTAGGGTTTGCGGCTTAGGGTTTAGGATCAGGGTTTGGGGTTTCAGGGTTTAAGGTTTAGGATTTCACCCTAAAAGTGTTGAATAATTCCTTTTACAAATATAATGGTTCCTAATGATATGGGAATCTTGGCTGGGATGATTTCGGGAGTTGAGCGAGACAAGAAAATGCTCGATCTGGAGTTGCTGAACCCTAAACCCTAAACCGTCTCNNAAACCCTAAACCCTTGACAAACTAAAGAGACAAAGAGCCTTCATGGAGGTATACGCAGGCCAAGTAAGAGACACTCAAGATATTCAACCGTAGGGATATAGGGAATAGGGTTTAGGCCGGTAGCCCTGAACCCAAGACTCAGTACCCCACGCCCAAAAACCAGAGCCTACTTTAAACCCTAAGCCCGAATTCCCAATCCTCAAGCCGGAACCCGAAACCCAGATCCCGAAACCCCAAAGATGGCCTTAGAACGGCGTAAACAAAGGATAAAACTCTTCAAGCTCTTTGCAAAACCGTATAATAGGAGCTTGCTAAAGTCATATAAATATATATATATATATA